CAGGTCACTTTGTAAAGGACAGTTTTATATTATTGGATATGGTACCCCGAGTGCACGTGCGCTGTTTCATTGTAACTTCTATATTGTTAGCCAGGCATGGCTGAGAGGTCAATATAATAAAAATAATAAATATATATAAATGCATAACATTATGAGATTTAAGTTATTTAGACTAAACATTAGTGTTTTCATTTTACAATCTGTAGTCATTCTAGAATGAAAAAAGCATAATTTAAATTTATTTCCCAATTTTTTTATAATGGTTACGAGGCCATTCAAATTGACGGATCCCATAGAATTAGGGTAGAGAAAATAACAGAAAAAATATAAGGTTTTACTGAAAACACATGTTTGATATGTATTTATGAGGTTTTAGAGATTACACAAATAATATTTGAGATTTTTGAAATGAACAATAGTTTTTTTAGTTATAACATGAAAATCACTTCGCACTTGGACTGGTAATGAAATAGACTCGATATTTTCACAAACAAATCTATAATAAAAATACTTCATTAAAAAATCTGACTTTTTGTGTATGAAAAACTTGCAATCTTTACTAAAAGTACACCAAATTTGAAGATAAACTTACTGCATTAAGAGTTATAGTATAAATACTTAACTCGTGTATATTATACCAAGCCCGTCACAAAAGGGTTAAAGTCTCCCAAGATGAAAAAGGGAGTTGCCAACTGTTCTACAAGAGCATCAAGGTCTGATAGATTGTAAGTCTCTGGGAGACAGGTAGAGAGAACAAACAGTGATTGTACATCCCATGGAGATATGGATGACTACAGGGTTTATCAACTGGCACAGATAAGGTGGGTACGTGCTGGTGAGCTAGCAATGCATGAGAGGGTTAGGAATATAAGACCACACCTTACAGTTCAGATAACCCGTCTTGACAGTGGTAGGTGGATGTGGCAACATAAACGTCAACATAAGAACATTGGTAGGCAGCATAGTTCCTTCTTTATGAGTGGAGATATGTTGCACAGCAGAAACTCCTTGGCTGAAGAAACCAGTGAGGATCTCTGACTTATGGATTTTTCATAAATCCCTCTCAACAATCACTCCTTCGGAGTAGCATGGGACATAGCCTTAATAGGTATATCCCCAATGGCCTTCAAATTCAGGAGGAGTTAATTATGTTTTGGTGTTGATGTTTCCACCAAGATTTCCCCAGAATGTAGCTTCTTCACTGACTTTGGAGAGTCAGCAAGCCTGTCTAATCCTTTCTGAATAAAAATGTTTGCCCTAAATGTTTGTCTGATAAAGAAAACATGATGAGAAAACGAGGTACAGGTGCAGAATGGGGTGGAGACTGCTGTTCAGAGTCTTCCAAACATGTTTGCTTTCCTATCAATGTGGTACTTGGTTGCTGTTCAGAGTCTTCCAAACATGTTTGCTTTCCTATCAATGTGGTACTTGGCTGACCCTAGCAAATTGACCATGGTGGAACAACCCCAAGACTACCCCTTTACAGGAATTCAAGGCAAAAGTGGTGTATTAAAGTGCTACTGATATAAGAGACCCATCAATGACACCCCTCAACCTCCAGGATCCTCTCCTCCCCTTCACGGGTCACAACACACGGCAAACTCGTGGGTGGATGTTCAGATCCTACAGGAGGTAAACTGAAAATATAGAACCTTCCCTGGGAGGTCCCATCACCATGTACAGGAATCCACCTCAAGGGGCCCCCTACTAAGTTGCAAAAGCTACATGATCAAGTGGATGAAATGCTCCATGATGGGTTAATTGAGCCTTTCACTTCTTCTTGGGCCTCTCCAGTAGTTATTGTCAAGAAGAAGACTAATGATTTTAGATTTTGTGCAGGCTACAGAAAGTTACATCATATCTCAGAATCTGACTGATATCCATTGACCCATATAATCGATATTTTGAATGCTTTGTCAGGAGTGACCTGTATCAGTACGTTAGATATTGACAAATAACTGTTAAAAAGGAGGAACAACATAAAACTACTTTTATAACTGACAGTGGACTTTATCAATATAAAGTTATGCCTTATGGTATGAAAAATGAACCTGCCACCTTCCAAAGACTTATGAATAAGGCTTCAGCATGAGCAACTGAATGTTTCAAGGTTTATATTGATGATATTACAGTCTTTTCACCTATATTTGAACATTTGGTTTTCTACAAGCTTCATAAAGCTAATCTTACAGTAAAAATTTCAAAAAGTAAATTTTGCCAACCAGAAGTATCATATTTAAAATTTAAACTTATTTCTAAGGAAATACACATACATGATGACAAAGTGACAGATGTTAATGCATTCCAATTTCAAAGAACTGCAAGGGAAGTTAAATGCACTCTTGGGTATGTGTACCTGGTATTATCAGTTCATTCCATACTTTGCCACAATTGCTGAACCTTTATATTAATTATGAAGGAAGCGTATCAGGTGGAAGTGCACTCTCCAGTGTAAAAATGCATCCCAGAAAATAAAGCAGGCTTTATGTGGATCCCTTGTCTTGAAACTTCTAAAAAAAAGGAGCGAACACTATTTTTTTTGCTTCAAATGTTGGATTGGGAGCAGTTCTGTGTCAGAAGGGTGTCACAGCATATGCTAGTAGAATATTGAATTATGAAGAAAAAAAATTATACTGCTATAGAGTTAGAATGTCTAGCAATAGTCTGGGCTGTAGAAAAATGTTAAATATACCAAGGTGAAGAAAAAATTTACAGTGATCACTGACCATGTTACCTTGAAGTGGTTACAGACAGCTCAGAAGTTAACTGGTAGACTGATGCATTGGTCACTAAAGTTGCAGGGCTCAACATTTGAAATACTTCACAGAAAAGGAAAAGAGAATCAGTTACCTGATGCGCTATCTAGACATCCTACTGATACCCCAGAAAACACTCCAGATTTGAATGTCATTAAGCTATCATCTAAACTTTTTGCCATTGTCAATATTTGGCTACTGTACAAGCTAAAGATGATGAGTATAAGCATATTTACTTTTACTTGAAAACTGGACAGTTGTCAGATGATTCTACTATAGCTACAGACTGTAAATAAATCCAAACACTATGTTTTGAATAACAATGTTGAATACAGACCAGTTATTCCTAAAACACTGAGACTAGTGATGTTAATAGAATTTGCTACCTCACAAGGTGAGTTAATTTTTGAAATGTATAATAATGTTACTCATTCAACCACAGGGTCTCTTGTCTCCACAAACAGCCTTCTGACAGAATATACACTATCACTTATTCACAATAAAATTTACATGGAAAATTTTCCTATCCAAGCTCTAAAGTATATATAAATTATATGCATAGAAACAGATATTTTAACTTTAAATACAACAAACCACACTCAGTAAAATGTGAAATTATCAGAAATATATGACTTAATAAAAAAAATTCGCAACCAAAGTCTCTAAAAGAAGAAGAAAGGTTCATAAATTAGTTAAGCAATCTAAAGATAACCTATCAAATTCTATGGGATTTGCAAGAAACACAAAATACCCCATTAAGAATGACATAGCTAACATCTAAAACAGATATCATAACAATTTGTTCCAAAACTACAATGTAATATATATATGTATAAATGCAGAAGAATTTGCCAGAGCTCACTAGAAACTTGCTACCCAATGTTAAGTAATCTAAAAAGAGAGAAAAGCAGTCATGTGTTCTTTATCTATAAGCAATTCATATAAATAAGAAACCAGCAGAATCAGAGGCAAAAATTTTCCTTTGGCAAACCACAACTACCAAATTAAATACAATTGAATTTAGTCAACAGCAATGCTTAGATACATAAAAAAAAACAAAAAACAAAAAAACATGCAAAATGCAAGTAAACATGACCTGAAGCAGTCCTACAAATCGAGTCTAAAAATTACCCAGCTAAGGGGAAAATCTTAACTCTACAGTTAAAAGCCATTAATCTTGTGTGTGAGATTAATTACACAAATGGTATTGAAAATATTTTTTTCACTAGTCACTTGTCTTTATCTATGAAGAATATATATATATACTTATCTTATACTGATATCATGACTATCTAAGAAATCTGTGAGAAAACATCAGTATTACTTTAGATAGGTAGTTAGTACACTTATTTTTATGAATTTTAGCCATTTTCGTAACATCATGTAATTCTTATGGCATATACATAAAGGCCTACATTTATATTTTGTTTATTGGTAAACTGTGCGGATCTTAATATAACAAAAGACTAGTTAGTTTCATTAAATCCTTTTTGAATATCACGTTTGAAATCATTTTTGAATACTTTTAATATTGTTACGACAGCGGTAGTCACGTGACTCTGGTACCACGTCATGATATTCTCGTAGGATCGGGGAACATCACAAATAATCCAGTATGTGCTAGGCGCCCTCTATTCCTGTATATAAGTTCGCCGGTTAACGTGGGACTAATCAATTGGAATTGAATTGCAGACAGAAATAGAGACGAACAATTGAGTTAAGTGCATGAATCGTTCGTTGTGAATTATAGCGTCTGTTTAAGTTATAGCGTGACTGTGGAAATTAAGTGTATTGCAAAGTTGTATTGAGAAAGAATAAATTACTTTTATCTAAGAAAGGACTTGTATCGCTAATGTTTCTTCGGAAACAATTTTTATGGAAAATTAACAAACGACCAGAGGCGTAACAATATTAATACCACACTTAAGAAATTTATTTTGCATTGTTGGCTTAGTATATAGACTTAAGACTAACCTCAACCTATTCGGCTGGCCAAATCTTTTAAAACATGCTGGAATTACAGCTAAAAGTATTTTAATCATGAAGGTACAACGGATTACTTAATGTATTTTCATTACCATACATTTTAGTTTTGGTGTACTGGTTTATGACATTAAGTTTTCCCATTGTTAGTTTCTATATTTATTATAGCCATCATGTTGCCATAACATCTATGATAAAATTGAAATCCTAACATATAAGTGAGTTCTAAATATTGTAGTGAGAACATAAATATAGAATCACCTTCCATAGTTTTTTTTATTTGCTGATCATTTTCTCCAAAACCTAGCATGAGTGAGGTCTTTGTAACAACATTAGGCCGAACTTGCTTTGCTTGATGCAAGACTTCAAGAGACTGATGATACTTAGCTCGTGGGTCCCTCACATACCTGTTCAAATAAAATGTTTTAATTTTTTATGAACATTGTTTCACTTGGATATTACTCAGATATGCAAACAATGCATTATATACATAGGAACTGATTGATTTTGTTATCAAAATTACAAAAAAAAGGGGGAACAGTAACAAACTAAAGGATGATAAAAACATATAATGCAACTTTTAACTCTAACTCTGTAATCTTAAGTCCTGTCTTAGCATTTAATCACTTATGTAAAATATTAATTAATCCTCCTTGTAGTTAAATATGCAATTCAAAAGAGAGAAAACAAATTTTCAAGAATCTGTTCTAGCTGAACATTTTAGTTAGTTCCCAAAGCAGCATTAATTAAGTGCTAGGGCTACATGATCATAAAATCATCTGCTCAAAATAGTTGGAAATTGGATAAAAGTGGATAAGAAAATATCAAAAAGTACACAAAAATAATAGTAAATGGGTGTTGAACTTTATCAAAGTTCTTCAAATTACAAAAATCCCCAGCTTTAATTTTTTTTGTACATATTTATAATTCATCAATTTAGATATTAATTAGATAATTAAAACTTGTAATTATACTTTATTCATTTTTTCATTTTTAAGTATTTTTAACAAAATAAATTAAATGTAACTTGTGACAGATTGAAACCTTGAACATATAACCAATGCTTCACATTGAAAAGGAAGCCTTCATATTCTACCTTAATTTCCTATATGTTGTTGAAGAAATAATCATTTAACAATTAAAAAGATACAAAACTGTGTTTAATAATAGTATTTTTTTCTAGATAAATGTTATTTACTGATACATTAATATTTAATGGATGTAAAAAGACCCAGAACCGTGTACCTTCTTCAGCTGTGACCCACAACACAAAGAGTTTGATACAGAGAGGAATATAGACAACCATAAATGTGTGAGGACTTATGCTGATTGTTTCACTCTAAATCCAACACCATGCCACGGGGTAACAAACTCCATGCTGTGGCAAGATGAGGGATCCCAATAGAAGGGATGAACTTTATTTTCGAACTTTATTTTGTTTATATGGTACAAGGAGGCTAAACTCCTCTGGAGGCCAAGTCTCATCTACATCAGCAGAACACCACCGCCATACTCTCGAGAGAATGGTTATAGGCATCTTTTTGAGGAACTTATTCAGGAGGGTGCCTCCATGGTCAACCACCCTAGTGGCTTGGAACTGGAAAGTGGAGGACTCCCACACTCTACTAGAAGGATGTTGAGTCCAGAGGATCATCATCACTAGAGACAGTGCAATAGGTGACCACGAAACCCTATTTTGAAAAGCAGACCATACTGTTTTATTCAATCAAGGCATGGCAGGGATAGGCAGCTATCCCTTTCTGCTTTACCCATGCAGTCCATTGGTGGTATGGTCCAGAACAGATATATTTATGAAGCAAAAACATTGTGAGGTTATTCACCTTCAATCAATCTTGCAGAACACCCCATCTCACTGGTGAGCACTGCGAAGCCATGGAAGACAGTGCAATGCAACATGGCTGTACAGTATGGTTTTCAATTGAAGGATACCTGGTCAGGCACCAATCGCCATGAAGTGGGATCCAAATAGTAAATAATAAAGCAAGGACCCCTGAAAGGAAATAAATAATGAATAGAAACTTACCCAGTTAGAGTCGAACTGAAGTATGAAAAATGGTCACAGGTGGTAGATGAAAACCCGATGAGGAAGAAACCGTGATAAAGTGTAAATAAGGGGAGATGAACATATTAGGTGTAGTCCAGATGCCTGAATGTAGGAGTTCACCCAATAGCCGATGAACATGAGATGCCAGAGAAAAGGTAATGATGTCGAATCTGATGAGAAGACACCTGGAAGAAAGTCCGAGAGGATGATGACAAAGGGGAGTAAGCCAATGGGATAAAAAGCTGAACACAATTGGTGAGGGCAGAAGGAGAAAGATCTCAACTTGAGGAAAACTGCCTAGGACACCACAGAAAGAAGCTGTATGGGCAATAGAGCACAGACCATACATAGGAATCTATCCAGATTGGGAAGAGGAAAAAGATGGGAAATGAAAGGAAGGGAATTAGGTAAAAGGAAGAAGGAAAAATCCAGATAAAGGAGAAGAGAGGGAGTGGGAAAATGTAGGAGAAACATCATGGCAAACAAATCTGATGTACACAGGCATAGAGGAGAAGGAACTATGTTTGAAGATAAAGTGAAACATGGAACACAAGGAAAGTAATGAAAATGAAGGTAAAGTGAGGGAATAAAAGATCACATTAATACCCCAGGTCGGAATGGTAGACAGTCAGAGAGGATGACTAATCTGGAAAGAATGTATGAACATAGTAAGGATAGGTGAGGTAGAAACTGTGGTATCAGGATAAAAACAAAGGTATGGGACAAGACTGGCCGATAACCCAAGATTGAGGATACCAAAGACCCATGGTTGAAAAACCAGGGGAGAAACTCTGTCACCTGACACACAGAATTTCAATTTGCAGGAAATCTCAAACTTCTAGATTAAATGCAGAACACTTTCCATTTATGCCAATAAACACCCTGATCTCTTCACCAAGGACTGAATAAGTTTGTTTGCTTGTTTGAATTTTGTGCAAAGCTACACGAGGGCTATCTGCACTAGCTGTCCATAATTTAGCAGTGTATGATTAGAGGGAGGGCAGCTAGTCATCACCACCCACCACAAACTCTTGGGGCTACTCTTTTACCAATGAATAGTGGGATTGATCGTCACAATATAATGCCCCCATGGCTGAAAGGGCCAACATGTTTGGTTGGACAGGAATTTGAACTTGTGACCCGTAGATTGCGAGTCAAACTCTCTGACCACCTGACCATGTACTGAATAAGAGCCAAGCGTGAAGATGAACAATGTGAATGTCTATATGCAGTACCAGTGAATGAAGAAGGGCAGGAGACAAAAAAGAGGTAGTGGAGGTAAAAGTTGGAGTTGGAGAAGTCATGGAAACTACAGTTGAGCTAGCCATTAAGGAGCAATCAGAATGACATAACACATGATGGTAGGGATAAGGGAAATCACCCATGGAACAAGAGGATAGGGGAATGAATATACAGGAACCTGTGGGACCAATCCCAGGCCAAAGACGTCAACAGCCCTAGCTAGAAGAGGAGGAACTGAATACCAAATAGAGGCAATGGGTGGTTAAGAGATCTATGCGGGGAAAATACCACTAAAACAAAGCCACCAGGAAAAAAGAGAACTGAGAGACCACTCCAATGGATAGAATATGTCAGGATGAGAAAAACAAACTGTGATCTGAGTGAGAGCACTCAGAACATGACATGCAAAGATGAATATTGTGCATGGGGGCCCAAAAGAGCAGATCTAACATGTGAAAAGAGAGGAAGTGTGAACAGGTGTCACCCACAGGAGCAACTTCCTCAAAAAGGGACAAGAGAAGAAAAGGAACAGACCATAAAACCTTCTTGTAAGTACCAAAACTCAAAAGAGACAAAAGCATTAAGATAATATTCTGCAAAACATGTCTGAAAATGTGTAAAGTAGATCTACCAGATATTGAAATAGAAGTATGGAAGGCATTCCAATGTAAGGTAAGAGAGAACTGACAACCTTAGGGCATTGGAAAATTGATTCAGCCATTAGATGGGGAAGGTGAGCAATAGTGGAAGCAGATACGCAGACCCTGGCACCCGGGGACCAACACATTAATTTAAATTACTGGTACAAAGGATAAATTGTAAATGAAGCAAAATTAATGGTAAGAAGTATAGAGATTAAACGAAAGTAACTGTAAGAAGTATAAACTATAAAGAAAAACAAAATGAAACAGTCAATGTAGTAAAAAACAGGAAGAAAATGGTGTAGGGAATGTATCCCTTATGATGTTGAGTTGAAGATAGATCTGTAACTGTGGTAGATATGAACCTGTCCATCAAACTACAGGACACCAATAAATTAATTAATGAAAAGAAGTATAAATTATACACTAAATGAAATTAATAGTAAAAAGGATAAAGTATAAACTTGAAACCTGGTGGTGAAAAAAGGTTATCAATATTTCCATCCACCCGAATAGGGTCGGCTTCTACAGGAGGAATCGTGGACAATAACCAACGAAAACCCACATCGGGTCACCTACACCTGCAGCCTGTGAGATGGAGCTAGTCATAGGCATGACCCGAAGTGGTAACACTTGCTTCAGAATGAGACTAGAATATGCTGGGATAAATGAAGGAAAATTTCAAACTCCAGAGAATCTGGAAGTTATAATAAATGAAGACCACTTTGTGAATATACTAAATATGAACGTGAAACAGAAAAGAATGACAAAAAAAAACGTCCAAGTACAAACGCTGCCAAACAATAGGAGCATAAGGCCTCATTGTGAACTCTGCCTTAGATACAGCTAATTGTATGGCTTTATGTTATGTTTTATGGCAGAAGAGTATAGATGAAGTCACATACATCACATGATTACGTCACACTCTGTTGGTAGAGAAGTGAAGCATGATGATTTGCATGAGAGATATGTTGGAATCACTAGATTCCAATAGGGGAGTAGCAAATGGATTGTGACAAAAAACATCTGAGTATAAGCACTGCCAAACAATAGGAACATAAGGCATCATTGAGAACTCTGCCTTAATTACAGCTAATTTTATGGCTTTATATTATGTTTTATAGCAGAGGAGTATAGATGGAGTCACATGATTACGTCACACTCTGTTGGTAGAGAATTGAAGTATGATGATTTGCATGAGAGATATGTTGGAATCACTAGATTCCAATAGGGGGAGCAAATGGATTGTGACAAAAAACATCTGAATACAAGCACTGCCAAATCAGCATTTACCCAAATATCTAGGGAGGGGAGATAAACAAAATAGAATTGGAAGATTGTTGTTTAGTAAGGAAGTATGCGGTTCATAGGAAATAGGGGAAAGGAATAAAATGTCACATACCTGAGAAACGAAATCCAAAAAGATCGTTTTAGTTCTAACTGACTTCTCAGGCATGGC